TCAGAAGTGGCATCTCAGTGCTTGGCAGTTCTTTTCCTCTGTGTATGTGATGTTCTATTGGCCATTCATCCCTGCTGATTGAGTTTCCTGCCGGGTGCATGGTAGTAATGGCACTGCTTGGTCTGACTTTCAGACTTTGAATTGAAAATATACCCAGTCTGTTATAGAATGGGAGTCAAAATGAGGGTGAAAGTCAATTATGCCTTTGGTGTTTGTTTCCTTTTTACAGAGCATTCCTGTGGTGGGTTATATTTACAAGAATCCACTGCAAGGAAACGTAGGTACTGTTTGACACTTGGGAACAAACAAACAAACTTTCTAGGATCTGCATCTCAGAGAAAGTAGGAAAAAGTAACACTAGCCAATTTCCAAATGCCATATCACTTAGGCCTTTAGAGGAGAGGAACACTTAAGTGAGTATTTGAGAACAGGTAATGTGCAACATTTTAGACTGTGAAAGAAAAGACATAAGTGTTTCTTGTTTGGGTAAGATCAGAGGTTCTGATCTGGTAATGGGAGTAAGGGAAAGTGTGAATGTGTTTTTGTATGACTGCAGCTTTTGTAAACAAGTCTAGAGAGGAAAAACATAAGTTGGGACTGTTGGTAAACTAGCCATAGCAGCAGACATTACTACAGTATGGGAAATGTAACCAAATAGTTGGACAATTACAAAGTGCTAAACGTAGGCCAGCAAGTGTATGCTCCTTGCTCTACTTCACCCAGCTTAAAAATAGCCAAATGGGCACACCTTTACATTCAGGACTGTGCATTCAGTACCATGTCTTCAGCATAGACACACTCTTAAAACTAGCTGCTGGCTTATTATTACATTATATTATTATTATCATCATCAAGAAAGTTGGCATACCATTGTTAAAGTATGGCGCAGCTAGGTTCATGGCATCCTGAAGCTACAAAAATACCCTTGTGTTATAAGCAGAGCCTGGAATATTTTAAGTAGACAGAAGTAGGGTTTGATGCAGAATGAGAGTGACGAGGGGGATGGTTGTGACTGTATGATCCTTCATGCCACTGTGGCCCTGGCTTGGACTAGCACAGCTCTGCCTGAGGACAGCTAGCCCTTAACCCTCCAAGCGTACCTCTTTCACCTGCAATTGGGAGGTGCAGAAAGGAGAGGAGGTGGTTATTTTGGCTTTGTAGCAATGGGGATTTCTCCACAGAAGTGCTATCATTCACCAACAAACTTAAGACATTTCCCTGAAGTGCCAAAGAGTGCATCTCCATTAGCACAGCCGCCTGAGTTCTCCTACTTCCTTCTAGCTGTGCTGGGTGATTAGGAGATGTGAGCAAAGGGATGCTCTTTCTTCACACAGATAAAAGTTTAGCAGTATGAGAGTTTAGTAATGCATGAGGCTATAAAATCTACACTGTCTCATCACTTATCTCTGAAGAATGCTCCTGTTGCTGGTTAATACAGAGATAGTTTTAACACTGCCAGCTTCTTGAAAACATACTGGGTTTTTTTGCTCCAGGTGTTCCTGGTATGCTTGTATTTTGTTCTGCAGGAATACTGAGATGTGGAACACTACTATTTGATGATACATTCTTTGATTGTTAACTTTCAATGAATTCTCATCAAATGAAAATTAAGTATCATAGTTATATTTTTGAGATGTAAAACAATACCCCCATTTTATAGTTTGCTTATATAAAAAGTCTCTTTTTTTTCCTGTTTTGTAGACTGCTTTATTTCCGTGATTGTTAATAGACTGGAATAACAAGGCTTTTAAAATTTCATAGAATCATAGAATGTTTTGGGTTGGAAGGGACCCCTAGAGGTCATCTAGTCCAACCCCCCTGCAGGAGCAGGGACACTGCTAACTAGATCAGGTTGCTCAGAGCCCCATCCAACCTGGCCTTGAATGGTTCCAGGGATGGGGCCTCCACTGCCTCTCTGGGCAACCTGTTCCAGTGTTTTACCACCCTCATTGTAAAGAATTTCTTCCTTATATCCAGTCTAAACCTACCCTGTTTTAGTTTAAAAACCATTACCCCTTGTCCTGTCACAGCTGGCCCTACTAAAAAGATTTTCCCCATCTTTCCTATAGGCCCCCTTTAGGTATTGAAAGGCTGTAATCAGGTCTCCCCGCAGCCTTCTCTTCTCCAGGCTGAACAAGCCCAACTCCCTCAGCCTGTCCTCA